CTTTTCTTTATTTATTTTTGCTCGGCTTCTGTTTAAAAGCAAGAGTTGGCCCGTGGGGGCAGAGCCTCAGGTTCATCATCCGAGGGTGATGAACCGACCTCGCTAAAAGGCAAGAGCGAGAAATCGCTCCAAATTACAGAAAAAGCAAGTTCTCGTGGGCTGGATAATGGGGTCGGTTTCCGAATGTGGCTGGAAAGAAGTAGGATGAGATCCATGGGAGCTTTGGCTTGGGATGTGGTTTTTTAGCCCTGCTGCCCTGGCTGGGGTTTGGATTTTAGCGCAATGGTTTTTGTGCACGACGTGTGCCGTCCTGGCAGCCCTGGGCTTGCAGGGGGGATAAGCTGGAGATGGGATTCCAGGGATGTTAGAGGGAACCTTGACTCTTTATTCCCTGGGGAATTATCTGAGTTTTTCAAGTAATTCCTCCCAGTTCCCTTCAAGGCTCTAGGATATGACAGGAAACGCTTTGAGGTCCAACGTGCCGTGAAAAGCCTGGCTTTATAGATGATCCCATAGGGCCTCGTCCCTTGGAGGGGATTTATTTCATGTCAGGGGATCTTCCTCTCTTTGCAGGGTTATCTCCCACCCACAAAAAACGGCGCGGAGCCGAAGCGACCGAGCCGGCCCGTCAACATCACCCCCTTGGTGCGGCTGTCGGCGACCGTCCCCAACACCATCGTCGTCAACTGGTCCCCGGAGTTCGGCAGGGTGAGTTGGGAAGGCTCCACTGTGTCCTCCAAATCTCTGGCTCCTGCTGCTCCTTAGTGAGGAGCTTTTTGCAGCCTCCAGGGTTGGCCTTATTTCCCCAACAGCATCAAGCTGGGCAAGGAGGAGGTTCCTGTCCCCTTCTAATGTGTCTCAGTGCTGAGCAGTGTCACCTTCTTCCCAACAGAGCTACTCCCTGTCAGTTTACCTGGTGAAGCAGCTCACAGCGGTGACGCTGCTGCAGAAGCTCAGAGCCAAGGGCATCCGGAACCCGGACCATTCCCGAGCCCTCAGTACGTATCCATGGAAAACAGCCAAGCTTCTTGCAAGCCCCGGCACACGGGAAAGCGATTGGAGGGGAAAGACTGAAAAAGGGCTTGTTTTCACAGCGATGCATTTGAACAAAGCTGGAAAGCAATGTTTATGTGGATAGTACCCACTGTGATAGGCAATACTCGTCTGTAATTAGGATAATGAGTGTCATGATGCAAACTGTAAATGATATCGGTACACGTTTGTGCATGGGAGAAAAGGAACATGGTAACGAGAGAGCTTTTCTGCTTGTCTTTCAGTCAAAGAAAAGCTGACTGCTGATCCTGACAGTGAGATCGCCACGACGAGCTTACGAGTTTCCCTCATGTGTCCAGTAGGTTTCTGCATTTTTCCCACATTTGGGTAATGCCCAGAGGGCTGGATGGGGAAGCAAAGGGAATAAACATGTTCCCTGGCAGCACTTTGTGCCGGGCTACACAGAACTGAGTGAGTTTCTTCTTCCCTGTCTCTCAGCTGGGAAAGATGAGGCTGATCGTGCCCTGCCGAGCCATCACGTGCACCCACCTCCAGTGCTTTGATGCAGCCCTCTATCTTCAGATGAATGAGAAGAAACCCAAGTGGACTTGTCCTGTGTGCGATAAGAAGGCCCCCTATAACAAGCTGATAATTGATGGGTGAGCTGAGGCTCTGTGTGCATTCTTTAACCTGGTTAATGGTTTGCTTTTAAGGCTAATCCTCTAATGCTAGCATATATAGATGAGTTACAGCCTCGACTAACTTAAAATCTGATTTTTTTGCATTCCCTAAACTGCTTTGATGCCGATTTGGAGACATTTTCCCTAAAGAACAAGCAGCCTTTGTCAAAATGTTGGCTTCCCCCCTGGCAGTCCGCAGGGGCTGCAATGAGGGAACCTGCTTGCTGGGGTTTGACTACATACGTCGAAGGGGCCACCATAAAGCTGGGCTTTCAGGGGATCCTGGCACGGGCTGCATCTTGGAACTGTAATTCTCTGTACCCTGCTAACCCATCCCCGTGGCTTTGCGGCATTTCTGCCTCCGTGCAGTGTTTTCTCTCCCTAGCTGCTTCTCTCTGCCCCTGGCAGGTTGTTCATGGAGATCCTGAACTCCTGCACGGACTGCGACGAGATCCAGTTCATGGAAGACGGCTCGTGGTGCCCCATGAAGCCCAAGAAGGAGAAGCAGGAGGTGTGCCAGACATCCGCGTTCAGTGGGATCGAGGGTATGGGAGTGAGAGTCACCAAGTCTTCTTTGGGATGTCTGGTTTTGCCAAAGCAACTTTTACGGAGAGGCCTTGGAGTGTTTTAGGTCCCACCTGGGAGCTGTTTTTCGGGATCACACCCCAATACCAGGAGCATGGCAGGTGCTTGGCAGATTGCTGGGCACACTCTGGGAAGAAAACCAGAAAAACGCAGGTTCTGTAGAAACTGCAGCCTTAATTCTAGGTGGGCCACTGAACTGGAGCCCTGTTTTAGCGTGGGCTCCGGATGGTGCCTCCGTTCTGGGGCTGGGTTTGCTGCGAGCTGCCTGCGAGACCATGCGGGCCGCATGTCCTGAGCCGTACCGGGCCATACCAGGCCATACCAGGCCAGGTGGGTTGTGCTGTTCTGCCCGTGCCCGTCCTGGCCACGTGCAGCGTGTCGCTCGCTCTCCTTTGCAGCCGGCTCCCTTTGCCCTGGGAGCTCCGAGGGCAGGAGCTGCTCGGAGGGCAGGAGGAAAGTGGAGGTCATTGATCTCACCCTGGACAGCTCGTCGGACGAGGAGGAGCCGCTGGCCAAGAAGCAGTGTCCGGTGTCCAGCGCGGCCGCACCGGCTGCCACCGGGCCCAAGGGGTAAGAGCTCAGCCCCCTGGCCTCCCTCTCCTTCCCTCCCTTCTTTTCCTTTCCCTTTCCTCCCTTCTTTCCCTTCCCTTTCCTCCCTTCTTTCCCTTCCCTTTCCTCCCTTCTTTCCCTTCCCTTTCCTCCCTTCTTTCCCTTCTCCTCTCCTCCCTCCTCTCCCTTCCCCTCGCCTCCCTTCTCTCCCTTCCCCTCTCCTCCCTTCTCTCCCTTCCCCTCTCCTCCCTTCTCTCCCTTCCCCTCTCCTCCCTTCTCTCCCCTCCCCTCTCCTCCCTTCTCTCCCTTCCCCTCTCCTCCCTTCTCTCCCTTCCCCTCTCCTCCCTTCTCTCCCTTCCCCTCTCCTCCCTTCTCTCCCTTTCCTCCCTCCACAACCAGAGGGGTTTTAGGAGCTCCCCGGCTCTCTGTTCCGTTCCAGGGTGCTGACTATTGCCCACGGCTCCTCTGTGCTCCAGAGCCCTCCCCTGGCAGCTCTCCGCAGCGACTATCTCTCCACCCTGCCCATTCCCGACTACCGCCCGTCGTTCCAGGTGTCCTCAGAGCTCCAAGGTAACCGGCGCCTCTGGCACCGCTTCCCGGTGGACCCGGTTGTACCAGTTTACCAGACTAAGACATTAGCTGCACCGAGTGTGTACGCCGAGCTGCAGGGCCTCAGCTCCGCTTGCCCGGAGCAGAGCAAGCGCCTCTGAGCAGCAGAATCCACTGGCTCCACATGGGAGTAGGAAGAAACTGGAGTTTCCTCTAGCTCCCTATTCCCGGGAGCGCAGGGGAGGTCTGGACTGGCAGGATAACTCACAATGTGGCTGCAGAGCACGGGGACGGGCAGGCAGGAGGAGGCTGGAGGAGGTTTGTGTGTCCCGGAGCCCCTGAGGACACAAAGTTGTGCCGGGTGTCGCAGGGGACACGAGCGCGGCCACGGGGAGCCCCAGCAGCAGGGCTGGGAATGGCCATTCCCTGTGTGCGCTCTGCCCGTCCCTCTTGCCTGGCTCTGCAGCCGCAGTCATGGAGTTTCCTTGTGAGGACCCAATGGGATCCTGGGCTGCGTTAAGGAGAGCGTCTGCAGCAGGTCCAGGGAGGGGATCCTGCCCCTCTGCTCAGCCCTGCTGAGGCCACATCTGCAGGATTGTGTCCAGTTCTGGGCTCCACAGGACAAGAGGGATGTGGAGCTGCTGGAGAGAGGCCAGCGCAGGGCTCCGAGGATGAGGAGGGGCCTGGAACATCTGCCCTGTGAGGAGAGGCTGAGGGAGCTGGGCCTGTTCAGCTGGAGAAGAGAAGGCTGAGAGGGGACCTGAGCAGTGTCTAGAAGTACCTCAAGGGAGGCAGTGAGGAGGATGGGGCGGCCTCTTTGCACTGGTGGCCACCGACACAACGAGAGGAAACGGCCCCAAACGGAAGCACCAAAAGTTCCACAGGAACTTAAGGAAAAATCCCTTCCCAGTGAGGGTGCCAGAGCCCTGGAACAGGCTGCCCAGAGAGGTTGTGGAGTCTCCTTCTCTGGAGATCTTCAAACCCGCTTGGCCGCAGCCCTGTGCCACGTGCTCTAGGTGACCCTGCGTGTGCAGGGGGCTGCACTGGATGATCCCTAGCGGTCCCTTCCAACCTTCAGCATTCCATGATTCCATGATTCTATGTGGCGCTGTCACCAGCTGCCTCAGAACTGTCCCTCTTGCTGGAAGCTGCTGCTTGTCCACGGGTCCTCTCCGTCTCCAGGCAGAGGGCAAAGCCTCAGCCCGTGCGGTTCACGCGAGGCCACGTGCTGAAACAGGGCTGGAGTTTCTGTTGGAGCTGGAGTCGACCAGATCGTGGTACCTGGTGCTGGGAAGCAGCCCGGATCCATCTGCTTGACTCCGTTAGCCCAGCTCGGTTCCCCTTCCTGCCAGAAGTTACCAGCCAGAGATTTATTTTTGCTCCTTTTTATTTTTCTAGGTCTGGATTTGTTTTCCTTCCTTCAAAGTGAAAACCAGGTAAGTTTGGGGGTTTCATTTTGGCTTTTTGCTTCTCTCAGACAAACCTGTGGCCTGGCACATACATCCTCCCTTCGTTCAGCCAGCCTTCCTCCTCTTCCATCCTCTTCCTCTACCAGCACTGCTGTAGGATGTTGCTGGGGGTGCCAGCTCCGTGATCCTGCTGGCATCGCCCGGCACCCCGGCGAGGTGGGAAGTGTCTGCAGGAATCCCGGCCTCTCGCCCCTCTTCCCAGCACCCCTTTTCCTTCACAGCGTTCTCTCTCTTACATCTTTCCCGTTGCAAATTTGGGATGAGCCAGGGCTCGGAGGTGGAAACGCTCCATTTCCGTGAGGCCGAATCTGCGCGGCTGGAGGGCAGCGCTCACGGCCGGACGCAGCACCGGGCGGCGGATCCGCGCGCACTGGGGCGGTCGCTGTAGGCTGCTCCTTCCTCCTCTGTGCTGGGCTCTTTCCTGCTGCTGCCGCCGCTTCTCCGGGGCGATTCCCGCTTCCCAAGCCCGGAGCCGGGCCGAGCTC